ACTCACCGACGTTCATGTTGGCGCGGTGGTTTTCGTAAATTCACCACTTATCCACGAGCACACACGCGCGGAAGTATGGCAACGACGTGCTAGGTGTTAAAGCGTACCTTAACTTTCCACCACATGCGTCTTATGGTGCCATTTTATTTCTGCAATTGTCGTCAGTGAGTATCATTGGAAACTAAAACTCCATGCCCGAAATTCTCCTGCGATGTGAATCCCATTGGTTGAGGGCAGTTGCGGTAGGCGTTGGTTGCAAATTGCGATCAAATCCAATGCCGACGTTATTTGTTACTAAGGGACAAACTCAACCTCCGGCCTGTCATTATTTTTTACTATCTTACAGGAGGATTCAGAGTTGGAATCCTACATGATTCGAACACTGAAGGCTTTGGCCAATGCAAACGGAGGAAAATTGCCACAGGCCATTCAAGCTGCTCAGAAGCAGCCTTCGGTACCTCCAAAGGTACATGCGTCCATTCTAATTTATTTTGCACGTGGCTTGGGTAGCTTTATAAATTTGTGTGGGTATTTTGTGTTGTAAAATTTTGCCGTTTTTACCGTTAAACGGGATGAAACCGACCTGGAGCGTGTGGCGCGGCGCCATCTTACTCCAGTTGTGCATATTTCGGCTCTGTGGTAACAGTGATTTTTTCAATTCTAGGCAACCGTTCTAAATCCAGAAACTCGATCGAAATTGATCGCTCTGTTTGATAAGATTTTCACCTCCAAAGATGAATCGGTTCGTTTTTTATACCAATTCCTTTGTTACTATTTCTACTTGTCAGAGTAAGTAACGTTGATGTTTTACCTGTTTTCCGAGTAGTATATCGAAGAATTATACGACTTTACAGTCCAGTATCCCGACCTAGACCTGCAGCCCTTCCTAGCTGATTCAACGCCTTTCTTCCAAACCTACATCCACCAAGCCCTCTACAATGTCGGGCTTAAACGCGCTCAAACGCGGGTTAAGCAGGCCAGCAACGCTAACGTTAATGGCGTCCGGGAGACGCAGGTGAGTTCTGTGTTCCCCCGTCGGTCTTCCTCCTCTACCCGATTGTCTCTTCTTGTGCACTACAGCCTCACAAATGATGTTCAGCACACTCTATTCCCTGAAATCCGATGAGTTTTCCTTGAGTATGGTGAGAACGAGTCTGTAAAATGCGCAAATTGTTGCCGCTCCTGACCATACCCTTGGCAATCTACGAGTTGCGTGAGCGACGTGCGCCCTGCCCTGTTGACTGTGGCTGTGTTGCCAAGTATCCACAATTAAATGCTTGTCTAGGCATTAAATCTATACTGCATGATATGTTGCTGTTTTCAGGACCTGCGTTTCGTACCATAGTCAGTTCATGTTAGGAAGCAGTTGTTTGAGGAGAAGCCTGTAGCATGGCAAATGCATTCTTTACTATTTTCGATCGAAAATTGCATGCAAAAATGAGATCGATGCCAACTATTGGATATTGTGCTGATTTGACTTAAATGTTTTCATTGTGTAGGGTGAACTTGACATGGTTAGGAAAAAAGGTGTGTAAAAAATGAGGGTTACGAAAGAATTACTAAATGGACTAATGCTGCTTGCTGGCCGCAAGCATCCACTGCTGCTGCTGCCGCCGCTTCTCGTGGCTCACGGTACCATGGGTCACCTCAAGTATTTTAATCATCCCATCTTTGCATGCCTCTCCACCTTACTCAAAAAGTCGCGATAATATTCGCCTTAAAGATATTACAGATCGGAGCAGTATCGTTGGGGCTAGATTCTGATGCTTGCACTGCCATTCCTAGAAATTATTTCAATTCTCACTTCTAGTTTGTATGCTTACTCAACAAACACAGCAGTTTGCTATTCGAAAAAAAAATTTGCTTTTGCGTTGCTTGAGGAGTCTTAGTCGAACCGATGCACCCCTCCCCGTCTATGTTAGGACGCTTCTACATCTGCCGTTTCAAGTCTCTTTATTCATTGTTACTAAATTTGCACTCGTGCCGATTCCATTATTTGCATTTAATCCCTCAAAACCCATCAGTTGATATTACCTTGCACCCCGAAGGACTCGCACTTTGAAAATGTGCTCAACGAACGCTTGTTGAAAGTGATAAACGGCGGAAGCAGCAAGACACCTCGTGTGTTTGACAGGGTGGTACGTCTCGTTGTTTGTTTGCAATTTTCTCGTCAGCTTCGTTGCATCGGATGTCCGTTTTTGTTTAGCTGTTCAGTCACTTGAGTCAGTCGAGCTTGTTAGCATTGGCTTTGCTTTGTGATGCCTCCTGCCTCTCAAACCATCCTTCTAGTTTTTGTCCACCCACTGTCATGCGTGTTTGACTTTCGCGCTTCAGGTCTGACAGGTCCCCTCTAGCATTCTCCTCTTTTCCGTAGTGGCTTCTCTGGAGTGCTTTTCTTCCCCGTTCAAAGAATAATGTTCAATTTTATGCAGCTGGCCTACATGAACTTTCTTGTTTGCATTCATAATTTGCATAACGAGGAAATCTACTGCAGTCATTTTTGTCGTTTTGGCATTTATTGCGCAAACTTACGAGATTAAATGTTGAAAGAACCAAAGAAGACCTACGTGGTCTGTTTACATTTGACTTCGAACATCATAATTAAAAAAAACCTTTTTTGCCAATCAGAAAATTATCGCTCAATCAGTTACTAATCGATACCTTTAATCGCAGCATCCTTTAACTTGTTTGTACTCTCCCCGATTTCGTTTAGATTGTATTTGAGGATGTTCCATCATTGCCTTTTAAGTTAATGACGTTTGTCTCCGATTATGCCTAAACACTTGTTTAGTGTGTTGGCTGTTTTCCAAATTCACTCTTCCAGTTTTTTGTAGGTTTGTTGGCTTCCTTTTAGCTAGTCTGTCGACTACAACGTTCAAAGCATTCTCTAAGTCGGTTTTCAATCTCTGCTTTTCAGCCACCTTCCTTCACCGAGGAGTTGACGCGACAGCCAGCCAATCCGAAGCTCTTCATGGACCGCCTAGCTACGCTGCGCAAGGAGCTGGGTCTTGAGTCCAAGCTCAGCGAAACCACCCAGGATGTGGAGAGTGAGGGCGGCGAACGTTCCTCCGGTGCCGTTGGCATGGAAAATACCTTGCGGGTAGGAATAACTGTTTGGCTACCGTTTTAGTTCATTGGATTTTAGCAGCTCTGGCAGGTCGTAGAAGTATAGTGACATTCATTTTAGTACATTAGTTATCCTAGTGGCGTAGACCCCGTAAACTGCAGTGGTTTGCTCGAAGCATTCCCCCTCCCCCAGACTAATCATTAAATGTCGCCATGGAGTTCGCTGACACTCGCATTTTTAATGTTTCCATGACATTTACTAGATGTTTAGGCACGATGCAATCTGCCACGCTTTTGGTGAGGCGCCAAAACCTCGTTAGAGAAAAATGGATGGCAGGGATTTTTATTCGTCCTTCGTTCAACTCACCCCACCACCACTCGTCATTGTTTTTGTATTATTTTGTATTATCTAACCTGGAAACAGAATTGGTGGTCCCAGTATGAACAATGTCCGCCACGGAGTTGTGCACTTTTAGTTTGAACTGTTTTATTGCAATGGAGAAGTGATTTGTTGCTACTACGTTCTTCGCGGGAATGATGCTAGTTTCTAACACGTCGCACTGTTAGACGATGACGAAAGAAAGTCCGCATCCCGTGAAGAGTGTTTCACACTGTTGCATCCGGATGCATTGTTCCATGTTACATAACACCCCTCGCCTCGTCGTTGTAGGATGCGGCTCAGGCGAGGAACGAAGGCGGCGCCTCCGCTCCCACTGGGGGTCTTGAAGGCGATCCCGCCGCCGATTCCGGTGGAGGCGGAATGTCTAGAAACGAGTTGATGGCCATCCGACGACGCCTGGAGATGATCAAGAATGCTCAATCCCGGGGTTGATCGCTGTCTCCGTTCTCTGTTCTACTACTCCTTCCCTCTCCCTAGAGCATATGTACATATTTTTCTGTGTTTATACTATTCCATGCTGGCAAATAGTTTTTGTCTCTGGCAGACCTTTTCATTTTCCTGCATTTCTATAAGGAACACATGTTTCTTTTGTCATATTCAAAGTTTCATTGTCACATGAATCACCCACTCCCTTGACTTCGTGGCTTCTCAAGTAGGATATGGAGGGTCGATGGCCAGCCTTGTTGTTCGGGTGTCGAAGGAACTTGAGTTTTCGCTGTTGGTGGTTAAAGGTGACAATAAATCTCACACCATTTTAGTTTATACTTGCTCAATAACGGTAGTAGTTGCGGGTGGCTTTCGTACCTTTAGATTTGCTCTCTTAGTCTTGTATTCTGTCGGGTCAACTCGCTTTGTTTCAGTAGATTTCGCCTTTGAAAATTTGTGGATGCAGATTTTCAGCACTGCGTGCGCGTTCAGGGTTTTATTCACTGTGTCCGCCGGACAGCTCAGCCTTGCTCCATTCCGGGGAGCGAATCGCGGGCCAAATAATCTAGGTAGTGTTTTGGTATGGCTGACGTAGCAGGCTTCGGTGCTCTAACATAGGCCTATGGCTATTGTGCGGTTTTAGCTAACTTTATCTCATGGGAAAAACTCCCAAGCATTTGCGTACTTCAAGAAACTACGATGGGCGGATTCGCAGCCACTCCTGCCGGTTTGTCGGCATTATCCTTGCCCTGCCACCCAGCCATGGTGCAACTACGTAAGGATCGTTCCCGATCGAAGCCAAAACGCAAATTTTGCTAATATATGCCTGACCGCAGAGTCAGTTTTCAGCCATTTACTAGATCACCCCTAGCACCGGCTCGGATGTCATGCTCAAGGCTCGTTTGGCACGAACCGTGGATTCACGAGCCTTGAGGCCACACTAAAAGTAGGCAGATAAGGCGGGGGCCAAACAGCATCTCTCCTGGGAGTGTAAGCTGTTCAGGTTTTGGGGAATTTCGTTTTGTAATAAAAGTATGAACCTGGGTTAAAGGATCCAGCTGCGTGATTTTTAAGCGATCGCTGCTGCTACTTCACGAGGGTGTTGACGGCGAAGGAGGACTTAAGGCGCGACAACGGTTTCTGGCATTTTCAGTCGCATGGTTGTGTCACCGACTGGCACCGAAGCAAGTTACCTCCCACGCACTCGCGTCTCATCATTGGCGTGGCTGAGGCGCTTGGTCATGTGGACGGACCAGAGTTGCTGTTCGACGCACCCACAAACAACGTCTTCAGCATCGTGGCGACTGAGCGTAGAGGGAAGTTGCCATCATGCCAAAAGAATCGTTGACAAAATTTCTCGACCACGTGGTGGCTCATGTAAAGGCAGCGTTCGCTCAAACAAAGGGGACGTGCAGCTTCTGGGGGGTTATTTGTAAAAGCTAAATAAACACGCTAACTATGGTGCCTGGCAGTCTGCGTAAACTCAGAACCAGAGGAGCTAGTGGATCGGTTTAGCGCTAACATCGACACGAGGGATGTTCAAAGTCATCTGTGGAAAATGAAGTAAGCGACTTGGCACATTGTTAAGTCACAAGAATTAAAAAAGGACGCTTTTACCTCCAGATGTTCTTTAATTATCTTCTGATCCTCAAGAGTTATAAAGAAGCCACAATGAATTCTCCCCAGAATTGATGATTGACCATTTCTAAATAATAATAAAGCGCATAAACGTTCCTTGGTCTATTGATGCAAAAACTAAAATCAAATCTCGCTCTCCTGTTTTTGGCCACTTCCAAGCTAAGGTAAGCGTGGGTGCTGAAGCCAAATCTGATGAAACAAACCATGAGGTTAGCCAGACATAAGCTTGCCCGATTGCAAGTCTACTCCCAAGCCTACACAGTGCCCTGTTTGAGACAGGTTTTGCTAAAACAGTGTTGGAACATGCAATATCAATGAACAGGCTTCATGGTTATTGACGAACAAAGTTACCACACATTTGCATGCGAGCGCCAGCCGAAAGGAGGTACCACGATGTCCCCTGAACAGCCTTGATAGTGTTCCACTCACAAAATCTGCAATTTGGCAGCTTAGGAAAATCTGCGCAGGATCAAGTGTGTGATCTACTCTACGAAGAATCGTAGCTTAGACTGTTTTAACCACCAAGAAATCTGTACATAAACCACGTGGGCCGCATTTGCACGAGACTGTGGGAAGATCGCGCTGCAAGAAAACACTTCCTTCGTCTCCATCATGAAATACGCATTTGCGTGTGAATGACAGTGCACTTGCTGCAGCCGGGTTGCGTGGCGCACACGCTGACTCGCTTGCTGGTGCAGCAGCCGCAGTTCGGGAATCCAAACGTATCAGTTGACATACGAACAAACTACAGCTGAATAGATCTTTACTTTTTTAGGAAAAAAAATGTAATTTCCAAGTTGGTATCAGTAAGTTTTGCAGTAAGAATTTCCTTTACACTCTGGAAATTGACCACACACTCATACACCACAACGAAGAAGGGAGGCGCAAGCACTCGTATGAGAATGACCATTCATCAATGAACGATTCGAATACAGAGAATAAGTTAGTTTAACATTTTGCTCTTTAGTTCCCTGATTTTGGGACATCTTCATGCTGGGGAATATTTATAAGTCTGCTGTCCTATCAAACGTTTTGGCTGTCTCACATTCCATTGGGTGTCGGAGTGCCCTTGTGTGATTGGTCGGGTGAATCGACTGTCTTCCGCACCGCTGCCGCAGCACATTAAACACCTCTGTGGCAATAAAGCATTCGCACTTGTTGGCGGGCATGCGCACCAGGAACTCGCCGTCGTGGCGAAGGAATTCGGAAGCGAAGAAGCGAAAACGTTCGAGTGAAACGCCCTGACAATGCTTGATGCACCTTGAACATGAGTCGCGCGACAGTGTGAGCATTAGCCAGGTGCTGAGACGGATGAATGTGGACCTAACATCAAAAAGAATCCACCAGCAAAGGTAATTGTAGATGGGCTGGTTGAGCACGTTCACAGAGAAGGTGCACTGAGTGGTCACTGCGTTGGTCCTGGCACCCAGATTCTTCACTCTTGTCTATAGAAGGTGATGAAGGGAAATACGAGTGTTGTCTGCCAACCACGACCTTCCTTGGTACATTTTTGAGTTCCAATGGACCAAAGGGGGACTGGCTTATTGAGAAGCCTAGGAAAATTTGCATGGGGGAGAGCTGACTCAGAGTGTTAGCAAGGCGCAGCGATTACATTATGAGGTAAACTGAGGCAATTAGTGCACCACGATGTTTAAAGAATCGTTGAACTCCTTGAACTTAGACGAGGCTTGCACTCCTGTAGGTTTCGGAAAGTGAAAGGGAGACCTGAGGGGACTCTTGCCTGATAGCTAAACATTCGTCGAAACCAAAAGCACACCAAATTGGGAATTCGTGCCAATGTCGTTGAAAAACAAGCCTCGAAAAAAAAATACCGCCTCACTTTACTAAGCTATAATTGGATGATAAATTGGTGAAGCACCATCGCCAAATAATATGCATATCAGGTAGAGCGGACGTGATCTTTGAGGGTCACACATTCATGCTCGTGCAGACCAGTGCGAAAGGAGGCCTACAGACAACATGAGGGTGGGCTGCAAGAAGGGTGAAATGCTCCCATCACTGTCTGCAACAGAATTGGAGAAAGGGCTTTGTGGTGAAATGAAAGCGAATTCGTGAAAGTTTGGGGGCTGATGAGTGGAAGCCAATTGGACGCCGTGAAACCCTCGAATGCACTACTTAAGGTAAAATCAGTAATGAGGCAATGCGATTTTTCCCAGTTGAACATAGGCGAAGAAATGGTTTTGATATCTATAAAATGTTCATCTTGCAGCTTGATTGGCACCAACAGGGCAATCATTTTGCGGCAAGCAAGACGTGGCAGCAACTAATAAAATTTCAGATTCTAGTAGGCTGTTGCGAGCAGTGCAAGCAGTGAACACCTCAAAGGCACACAGCGAAGGTACTCAAAACAAACTGTGACTGTCCCCTTGAGTTTTGCGTTGTGGAGACGATGACTAAAACGTGTACACGTAATTATCCCTGTAGCAACTTGCACGCGTTGACACTAAACGGCATAAGAAGGGTAAAGCATTGTCACGCATACATGCACGTGTCAACTCATTAACTTTCAGGTGCATGGCTTGCAAGAAATTCTTATTGAATGCGTGTCTAAAATCAACAAATCATCGAATTAGAAGTGGAAAGGCTTTTGGTAAATTACTTCGAAAAGAATTTAAATTGACAGAACCGGAGGTTGAGCCACTTCATTCTTTTTATTCGCCTCAAAGCGACTAGCTTGGTTTTGTAAAGTGATCAACTGATGAAGATCTGTGTCTGCTTGATTGGTGCAGTTTTTTCCAAATCACCGGAGGCGGATAGAAAAGTGCGCATTTCAATTTCAACACAAATGACAGCTGATGGAATATGACGATTTTAACAATTATATCTACTCAGCATTTTATCAGCAGCGCGTTTTTTAAAACGTATTTGAAAAGGAAATGCCACTGCTTAGTCGCGAGGTCAATTCACCACAGAAGTAAAGTATTAGGGATCCATCAATCTAAACCAAGTTTTTTCGCTTAAATTGAAGGCCTGCTTGCTGGTTCTGGACTGATTTATAGAACTATAACCGAAGCCAAAGGTTATTATTAAGTATATCAAAAACGGATGCCAGCATCAACCTGTGTGTTAGACATGAATCAAGAAGATTGCTTCATCATCTACACCCATGCAGGCAATACTTACAAATAGTCCAAACTTTTTAGAGCTTTGGATCATAGTGATCCCTTCAACCCTCATATAAACTCCGTTGTTTATCAACAAACAAGATGCAATTGGCTGAGCTTTGTTTGGTGTGGCGAGGTCTGGGAGACTCCGAAGCGGGGATCGAAGGCGCATCTGAAAACCGGCTGCCCATTAAGGATAAAACTGCACTCAAGCGACGTCGCCGCAAAAAGGGCTCCAAATGAAAAATATGCTCACGTTGGACAGGCTCTGGTAAACCGATTGATGATGAAGTGCGTTCTGTTGTGTGAAGGTGAAACTTCGACGGGCCTCGTCGTCACACGTTGGTGGTCTGTTTACCTCTGCATAACTTTATGAGTGCTGTGGAGGCAACATCTCCCAGGTACACCAAGCTTACTGACGCCTCTCTGCTTCGACACCAGATGACAAATTCAACTGATTTATTACTCACAAACGTTTCTTACCACATTCAATTAAAAATTATTTTGAGTGACTGGGGTGCTTCTTTTGATTCACAACGCCGGCGAAGGATCATTTTCGTGCGTGCTGTTAACGCTTGCCGGTAGCCTCGTAAATGCGTATTGATTTTTTTCGGTTATATATTGTTACATTGTGAGGTTGAAAAGTGGCCAAAAGTTGCCAAAGGCCCCGCCGTACCTTCGATTGCGTCGGTGTCTCTGCTGCGTGCGATAGGAGAAAAGACAGCGACTAAATGCCCACAATAAACTAACGAAAACTTCTGCGGACGAACTCACAGATAACGAAGAGAACAGTAGTGCCTCGTAATCATTGACTATTGGCTCGGTACTTCGAAGAAGAAGAAGAAGAAGAAGAAGAAGGCAGAAATTTAGAATCAGATAGTTTTTCACTAAATCACTTATTTTAATGTAAAGTGAATACATAAAAAGTGAGGTAAAGACATTAGAGGCGATGGCAAAACATGAATAAATCAGCATTCTTTGACCACTGTAACAATTCTACGGTGGTCTAAAGCTAGTGCGCCTCGTTTACCGAATTATGGCACTAGTTTGACTGTCGTAACGCCTACAGAAGATGCAAAGTTATGACTTACTAGGCATAAATTTTCACGGGTGATTGACATGAAGTCATCTTCACCCAAAAGTCGATTTTCAAGTCGTTGCAGATTTCACTATCTTGCTAGTTTTTTTTTATTATCAGAGAAAAGTGGCAAGGTGGCTGTAGTGGATTGACAACTATTTAATTCGATAATCGGGTGCAAAAAAATGCGTCTGTGCGTCTAATGCACAACGATGGAAAAAACCACCTGCACCGTAGGTAATACCTCAGTCATGTAATCGATTCTAACTTCAATCGATGTCAGCTGCGTGGACGAGTAGGTCGTTCGGCGAGGTGCATTCACTGCGGTATCGGTGCACCAACGGTCATGGAAGCTAACTTCCTTAAAGCGGAGCAATTAGGCGGTGTGCGTTCTCGACTACGCAGCTGCATTGCAGAACTGCGGTATTGAGGTGACACCCCTTTTGCTCGGCCTCGGCGCAAACCTCATCACGATTCCGAGCAGAGTGAAATGGCAACATGTGAAAGCCCAGTGTATATGCACTACCTACAGTGACGCGTTCGTCATTAGTGGAAGAGGCACTAGCACCAAACGTGGCTTAAAAAGGCGATAGCCTAGGGCCGCTGTTTAGGCAAACCACACAGACAAGCGGTACCCGAAGTAGGCACGCACGTAACGCCAACAGCCGTGTGTGCGTGTGAGATCGCCAATAATCAATCCGGTGCTGACCTGGATGCCTGAGTGCTCTCACATACGTGTGAATCAAGAAGAACAAGAACTCTCTTTTGAGAAATCTGCTAATACAAAGATCAATTTTACAAAGTTGTTTCTGTCAAATGTCATATTTGGAACATTCTTTTGAGGGGATGTCGCATGCCAGGACGTGTGACTGTTCTTGCATTAAAATGCTCATGCCACCAAGTAGGGCCCAAAATAATCCAGCAAGCTTGGGAAATTAAATTGGCAGGAAAGCACTGCACGCAGGCCAGCTGAAGGAACTTTGGTGTCAGTCCACGCACTTGGACACAGACTGGGCAAAAGTTGTTTGCGCTTGGCTGGGTGGTTGTGGCCTAACCACCACCGCATGGCTTGGACTTTGTATTTCATAGCGTCATTTCACCATCGCCTTTTGCAAAACTTTCTTATTGGCGGAATTTGACTAGATGTAAACTTCTGTGAAAGTCACTTGAATCACTTTTTTTGTAAATAAGTCCCAGCTTTTACAAGACGGTAATTGATTAGCAGCTGCAGATATACTGAAATGATCAGTTTGATATTTGTATTAGTAAACTTAAAATTTTCTATCTTTAAGAAAACGGTAACAGCATTTCTATAGTAAATAATACCTTTAGCCCATTATTCGAACCACCCGAGTAGTCCTTAATCATTGCAAATATCTAATTGGCTCAAATTTCGTTTAATGCTTAGCTAGCAAGCTGGTTTAATTCGGCGACTTTAAGACGCTTTTTCTGGAAATCGTATTGATTCGTTTGTCAATCAAAGCTTGTAGCAATCAGTTAGCATAGGACCAGGCCGAATCTATGTGCATCAAATGTAAAGCTTTGTTATGGAGGGCATCGGCGTTTTGAAACCACAGCACTCCTCCACTAGTCTCAGCACATTTTATGAGCGCAATTAATTAAATTTTGTTGATGTGAGCTTTCGCCAGAAGCACACTTGTGGTTAAGCTATTAGTTTGGCTTCCTTCATGATAAAGGCCACCAAAGTTAGCGCAGCGAAAACCAACCACGAAGAAACAAACACCATTTTAATGGTGTGTTGACGGCACTACGTCACCTGAGCTTGCGTTAATTTGTAGTGAAGTAACTATCTTGACGAGATCAGCCCTCGACACAAATTACTGCAGGTCAGACATTCCTACGTTTTTGAGCAGGACCTCAAACGCGAATACTGGGACAGTGCCTGTGCAACATATTGAACATTTGTTGTCCAACATTTGCAATGTGGTGGTCACATATAATAACCCCAACAGTTTATTGGGACTCCCTATTAAAAGCGTGTTTTTCCGCCGATTTAGTCACGTGCTCGACTTTGCAGATTCAGCTCATGTCGGCTTGAGGTAGTTTCGCAAGCGCCTGCATCACACCGCGAGTCACGGAGGTCCCGAAGAGGAGGTGTGTAGGACGCAGTTTAGAGGCCTGATGCAGACCGTACAACACTTGGCCGGAATAATTAAGAGGCTGCCTACTTTGTACCAACTACCTACTGACCTTTCCATGAAACCGTCTTAGGTCGACTTTCAAATGAGAAACAAGTCAGATTGTTTATTCGAGTTAAAACGGTGGTGAAGAAAACTGCCTGATCAGTAATCAGGTTTCTTCCTTGAGGACAACTAGTTTAACTGTAAAGGGTTGGAATCAGTGCTTGTAACAACATCGCCTAAGGCGGACGGGAACATGCCACACCGTGAGCGTTAGCATCCATCTGACCGAGGCCATCATCATGCATCAAAATGGAACGACACAACTACAGTGGCTGAGTGGTGGTCAAGGGAATCATCAAAACTCTGCCTTTTGTTAGTTATTTCGAAGAGGTTTACGAATACGTGATAACTTATCACTCTAGCACATATTAATTATAGTTTACAGTCGACACAAGATGTGGAGGTTATTCGTGTTTCTAATCTGACCCAGTTGTCTTCATTTTTGAGAGTACTTCCTAAGTAGGATTGGAGCAGTTCCCTGAACCCAACCGAGTGGATTTAGAACGATCGGTATAACATTTCAAGTAATCTTAGCTTACCATAGATAGATTTTAGCTGATTACACTTAAATTCTTTGCCACTTAACTTGATACATGTATTCAAATGTCAACGAATGATTTACTCTCTTCTAAATACTCTTTTGTTTATGGAGGATGAGTTGGATATCTAAGTAAGGGAATTTGCAAATTTAGACAGAGTCTAAGGCCGTTTAATGAAGTCAGGTAATAACAGTACCTCCTGTTGGTGATCTTGGATTAATTTGACACCTGTCCAGTGTCTAGACGTGAAAATAATAATTGACAGAGAAGGATTTAAACGTCTAAAAGTGTTTTGAGGCCTCATAAATTTTAAGAAGCTGCAAATCCAATCCTAGAAATGAAAAAAGGAGCGCTTAAAGTCGAAGCAATGTAAGAAGCCAACAAAATGAACGGTGTAAACTCTAAAATAGTGATATCGTGGTTTTGAATGTCATAGTCACATTTAAGGCACTCACACGAAGTGAGGTGTGGTCAGTTGACGGCAAGCATGCGGTGAATGCGCACTCGCGTGTAGCACGACTTGCGCTTGCTGATTTAAATTTATTCTGCTTTTATATAACCGTTTAGGGACTTAGTTGACACCTCATGTGAAGGTGTTGGCCACTGTTAATGAGGTGCTCTAGCATTCATGAAGTTTCTTACAACGTTTGCTATGTTAATAAAGTTTATACGGTGGAGTTGCACCTTTTGGTCTGAGTGAATGCGTTGACTTTCCTGCCAGGAGAGTCAACGAGAAAGCCACCAGTATCAGCCATGAGTTTCACGGGCTCAGCTGTTGCACTGTTGGCCATACTTTATTATCTTCCACATTCCCTTTGCAGCAGACTATCGGTTGCGTTACTTTTTGTTAAGCTTTCTCGCTCTACGACACTTACTTTGATCTATTTACATTTAAGTAAATGTTTTTGTAATTTTTGGGATCAAATAATGATAAAACGATGGAAAATAGATTTGGACAAAAACCGGAGTATTGTTACCCATTAGCTTCTCAACCCAGTTCATCGTACTTTTCAAGAGTCATGAGCGTCAACTGGGGAAAAATCGCGGGCCACGCTAGCTCGTCGTTCCGACGCCTCTTGAGGACACCTTTTCCAATCACATCTTCAAAGGCTGGTTAGCAAGATATCATGAAAGGAAACTGCTTTCGAAGTCTGAAAACAGGTATATGCGCGATCCTTAAAATGGCTAGGAACTCAATATCACTTTGCGCCGGATCTTAGTGTAGTACCTCCTGCTTACGAAAACTAACTTTATCATTTTGAAGACAGCAACACTCAAGTTGCAATAGAAATGCTTCGCCTAACTCCGCCCATGCCACTGCTCAAACACAGAGTGCTACTTTGTAGTATTAATCTTTGTTGAAGTAAAAATTAACCTTCCAGTCCACACACCCTTCATTCTAGATCCTGGTTTCGGAACTTGATGATGCCGTGGTCCAGTTCTTGAGGTTGTAGTGCACGATACTGTTTTCCTGCATTCTGAGGTGCGTCCCTAAAGAAGCAACCTGAGAAGCACGGTTAAAGTCCTTGAATCGGGATGGACACAGGCAGTGGCCCAGTGGCCTGTCAAAACCACCTCAAATGTGAAGCTCTGCCTTACAGTACTTTCGGCCTCCTTAAACAGAGAGGTCTGTGCTTGTGTTGAAGGAGTTTCGTCAGTGTTAAAATCCTTCTTTTTGGAATTTCACAAAATTCGCTTGTGGCTCATTATGGAAGCAAGTTGCGCGTAGCTTTGGCTGCAGCTGCTAGTTTCGAGCTTCCGGTAACTTTTATTTCTCCCCTTCGCAAAGGCAGAAAAACCACTGTGGTGCTTAAAAAGTGGGAAAAATTGATGTTGCTGATTGATTAGCAGAAGACACTACTCTGAATTGTGCAAAGAATCTCCTTTCGGAAGAATTTTACTCAAACATGACCGCTTTCTGTTCGATCTACCAGAGTAGATGGTGACTGATCAGAGGCCATGACTGAACTGAACCTTCAAATAAACAAGAGCACCTGTAGAAAGATTTTGAGGTGTATAAAGCACATGACAACTTAAATTATCTTGGATTCGGCAAAAATACCGATATTTGTATTCCGCATGAACTAAAAGAAGTTCATCCAATGCATCGAATGGAAAATTATGCTTTGCATTTCAAATGCAAAATTGCATAGCTTATAACATCAGCGATCTACAACTGTCACGAGCCAGCACAAATTAAATCTAAATTTAACTACTTTAAAAAAAAACAATAATGTTGTCTACCGGATGGCATAATTTTGTGTTTTTTATCTGCTTTCTGCTATCACCAACTAGGTAAATTGGATTAGGAAATATTACATGGAGAACAACTAGAATTGGCGAATCGGTAAAGGGAATTGTGTCACGCAAAGACAGTGCCAGGCCCCACACATTCTCGATAACTCGCAGAAAGTGTCCATGGCTTTGTTGGGAAGAGATACCGCATTCCCCATACAGAGATCACCTTGTAGTATGCAAATTTGACAAAACTCTTGAATGATAAAACTTTCCCACATTATACTAACTTGAAATGACGACTAGTTGCTTTTGAGAAAAAGGTATTCGAATTTCAATGGAAGCCGAATTTTAGAGTTGGCAGAAGGATGGCATGAGATCATCAGACCGGATGTTAAATCCAAAGTCAACTTAAGCAAATTCTTCCAATAAAAAAAAGTTGACTTTATTTGACACTACAAAACTGAATTTCACTCTCTTTCTAACTCACTAGAAAGTAAGTTGCTGTCTTCTATAACTCCATCGGAGAACTTCCGATCATGCCTCAACGCGGGATCTCACAGTTAGGCGGGGTGACTTACAAAAAAGTAACCCTTGTAACAATTAATATTGATTACAAAAATAAATTCAGTAATTATTTTGGAACAATTCGTTGATCTCTACGAGTTCACGAAGGAGTTGATGAAAATGTAACAAAAGGATGAGGAGCGGAGAGGAGGAGGATATGTGTACGCCGATGGGTGCATTTGGCATCTCCGCCAGCCACGCCACACGCACTAGCGTGAATTGGCCGCTTTAGCGCAGCGTGTACACCAGCATACGAGCAGCAGGCCAGGCTGTGTGAGTCATCACTATGCGTCAGACAATTCCGAGAACAAAGACCTAACGTGCGGCCCACGTGGGAGAGGCCTGAGGCTGGCCAACTGCGTCTTCACACATACTTGATGAGTTTCTGCGACTCAATTCACTTAAAATTGGTTATAAGTGTTAGTCAATAATCCTTAATATATGTAACCCCATCCGATTTTAAGGCGAATCGATTAGTGTATATATGGTGGTCAAGATAAAGTTCTCTTTAGACAAGCTCATTAGAAAGAAATAAAACATTTTTAATTTGGGTAGCAATACCACATACACTGGAAACCTAAGCCTACAGACTGAATTCATTCTCTTTTAATACTTGCCAAATGGTTAAAGAACTTTGAAGGAGCACTTCTATCGTTTAAAAGTTTGTGAGTGACGAAATTTTTGTTCAAATTGATGTCAACTTTACCACCAACATTCCCGCTCTGTATCGTCAAAGCAACATTATATTCACAAAGTAGCAAGGCTATTTATCTTTTGTAAACAGAACATCTACAATCCAAAATCGTAGCCAATATAAATAACGAATTTAATTTCATCAAGACCAGTACTTAATAACGTAAGAAGTCATTTGTAAATTACTGATTTATCGAACACGGGTGTTCCTCATTTTTTCCAATTTAAATTTATCCTATAGCGGTTTTTAAGATACTTTTAAAAACGACGCCAAATTAACAACTTCAAATAATCAAAGAGCACTCATTCGGCTCGGAACGATGGGCCTGAGACATTAATTGTACTCTCGTTGCCACACTACACGCGCGTGCCTACGTTCATGAGTTGAGGTCAATGTGCGTAGTTATCGGTGTTTTTTAGTCCTCAATCCGCGCATGCAAACGTCTGAGGAGCTTACAATGACGCTGATTTTGGCGTCAAGAAAAATCGATTTTTTGATAGGACCATTGATGAATGCGGCTTGCTATTTAATAAACATGTTGCTTCCAAATGTTTCAAAATTCGACCATCTGTTGCCACAAGAATGAAATTAAAGTGGAATATCTGGTTCATGCTTGCATTAAGTCATTCCAGTGAAGCAATAGAATGACCGAATCAACTGAATGATGAGACATTACGGCGCAGGAATGTTAGAAAGGAACCAAATGCAACGCCTAGACTATTTTGTAAAACACTCGCCTTGTTCAAGATCTCGTGTCTTAAAATCCCATAGAAAATTACCTGTTTGCTGTGGTGTAAAAAACTTGACACTTTTTACATTCTTACGTTGAGCCAAGTAAATTTTTATTGGCATTATTGAACATCTGATTACCCAAATTGTAAGTGCAAGTGAGTCTTTTGATACTTTTGGTCAACAGAGGGCCAGACCTGCACTGATTTTTTGCGTCCTGGTATCCATGTTCTCTATACGAATCTGATTGACTCTACGTTGACATTTAAATAAATACCCTAACTTTAGCGGAATCTTAACTAGTCCCAAGCCTCGCCCAGAAATAGGGACAAGGCACTGAGGATGGCTTTAACTTTCAGTAAAGTAAACACCTACAATCGGACTTAAGAAAGGACTTAGCGACCCATTAATCAGCCCAGAAACCGACTGACTACCAACACTTGGTTGAAATCATTACGGGTGACTAATACTCACTAAGTCTGAGTCATCTAACGTGATGTGCTGCACGTGCACTACACGTGGCCGGCTCTGACAGAAAGGGCCCACACGACCACAGGAAAGAACTCTTTAAGGAGGCGGGTACCTCCAATTACCCTCAGTATCTTTTGTGTATACATTAATTAATAATCCTTGCCCTAGTGGCTCTGCTATCGATGCACAGATAACAATCCAAGTTTAAGCCAGAACGCATGCGATGCATATGTATTATAAACATTTAAATTGAAATACTGTTTTTTGAGAATATCGACAAAATTATGCAACGTCATGCTGTTGTTAAAACTATGAGTTAGAGCCAACCGGAGCTAATCAATATACTGGGATTATTTAAGCGGTTTGATAAAGGCCAAATGTGAGAAGACAGAGTTTAATTTTTAATATGAGAACGAAGACCAGTCGTAAGTGAAGTATCGGCGATGGCTTGCAGGAATGGAGTTTATAATTGTTCAACTAGAAAAGCTTACCAAACAACAAAGTGGCTTTTGGGTCTTGGGATATAGCTTGATACCGGACGACAGGGATTGCAATACTTAATAAAAGTGCGGTTAGCGAGTAGAGCGCCTGTTGTAGCTGTCTGAACACGACAGTTCACGAATTCGGAGGCGTGATCCACAAGGATAGCACTTGGCTTGGTGCCGTAAGAAGACAAAAGGAAAACACCACTTCGTGTACCAGGAATGCCTGCAATGCACGGACACCTCACCTAGCAAAGGCCGCTAGTAAAAATGTGGCACGACCCAAACCCCGTTCTTTTTTATATGAAAACACCTTCTGGTAAGCAGTGACTTAAGTTCAGGCTCCGATTATAAAACCAGCCTTGCTGCAACACAAGGATGTGTGGGTTAATTCATCCACTCAAATGCGATGCGGTTCATAAGTCACCACGTAAATCACAGTACCCTAACCAGAGACCCTAAGCATGCGTGTGCGTGTGAAGAAGGCGTGCCAGCATGAACGCGCTCAGACACGAGTTTGCTCAATCCAATCTCTGGATGGCAAGCACATTCACAGGAGACCAAATTGACCTGCTTCCGACAAAAGCAGCATTAACAAAGGATTGGCATAGGCTACGTTTGTTAAATTTATCCGAATGCTTACCAATACGAGTGTAAATAGGTAAAATTTAAAACGACGCGCCTCCTGCATAACACTTAACATATCAGCCCTGTATTTGACCTATGTCAAAATAAGCAGTCATAACTTGATCCATGATTGGAGATTTATTCGGGGTGGATCACAAAGAGCTTCCAGGTGAATGTGCTACTAAAAGGTCCCATAACGAAAATAGTAGCTCTTAGAAAAAGGAGAATCACAACGGGTCACAAAACGATGATGGACGAAAAAGGGTCCACGCAAAGACAAACGGGTTAGTTCTGCGGGCATTTTATCAGTTTAAGCAACAGAGGTGTAATATTGAGCTATTGTGTTAGTTCCAGGTGTGCGTGCACGCGTAATACTAGGGGAACAGAACTTATACAATACTTCTAGGTTGCTCAGGATAGAGCGATTCCTTCATGGGCTCAGCAGGGGGTACATCGGGTGCCCTGTTTCTCACGGCGGTGTCGTCACTCCCCTTTTCTAGTTTGGCGGACCACCCAACAGAGGGGAGCAGGTTGTTTGTTAGGGGGTCATGAGTCTTCTCGATCAGACGGCGTTGGTATCGATTCCAGAGGGTGTTCACAACGGCGGCCGCGACCATGTCACCAGCGTTCATGCGTACCATCCGTATGAGGAATATTCCATCGTGACGAAGGAACCGAAGAGCGAAATCATTGGCATCTCGTTCGTCAAACGGGGGAACTTCGTCGGTGAATTTAATGTACTTTATAATGTAATCAGCCTCACGTGACCGACAGCAGAACCGGATGATCCAGAGAAAGAGATAGATCGCCGTGATGATAGCAGCTGCCAGGATCCACCACCACAAGAAAATGTAGAGTTTTTCGTTGAGCATATTGACGGGCAAGGCGCACTGAGCAGTCACGCCGTTAGTGCGAACACCCAGGATCTTCATTTCGGCGAAGCAAAAGCCGACACGAGGGAAAATTTGCGTCATTTGCCAATCGTGGCCATTAATTATGTTTTTGAGAACACTAACCCCAAAAATGGGGCTCACAGTTGTGTTAAAACCCAGGAACCGCTGCATCAGAAACATCTGGCCTACGGCGTTGGTAAGATACAACAACTTGATAAAGAGGTAGGCAACCACGATGTAGTTTCCTCGACGTGCCGATGAAACAGGAAGACGGGCACCGCGAAGAGTGGAACGAAAATTAAGACTCGAGTCACCAGAATCGTCAAGCATCTTTGTTCCTTCCATTAGTCTTTTGGATAAAACACCTGGCCGCTCTCGGCGCAAAACAGCCCTTTTCTGTCCCTACAAAGAAATATCTAGTTAGGTATCTACTGTGTATCCTAAGTGAGCCCTCAGGCGAACAAGGAATCAATATGCGGTCATTATTTATTAACCTGCTAACCGGTTCGTGGCTAGCCATCTACATCTCTAGCACGAATGCGTCTAACAGCACAGCACACGCCTCAAGTACTTGTTGCAACTTCCATCAATTCCGGTAGGTAAGGCAACTGGTTATGGATACAAAACAACTCAATTATTAGCTTACTTTAATCAGTAGAGCGAGTTCCATGAATCGCTAATTAACCGAGATGCCTGATTAAATTGCGAAAAAGCCTACCTGGAACAGGAGGTGCTCAATGTCAAGAGCAACGTTTTCCACAGCGGTTTCCCGACTCTTATTGTCACCGTGCATAGCAGCCATAGCCTGACTGACTAGGTTCTCCAAGTCAGTCCCTGTGCGATTGTAGCAGATCGCCTGCCATATGATTCGTGGAAGATAAAACAGGCAGCACTGGAGACCCAGTACAAAGGGAACCCATTGGTAGTAGACTACAAAAAAGTAGGATGTAGAGATCCCAAGTCTGGAAGTCCACCAAACTAAGCTTGACACACTTTGTTGAAGCCATTAAAGGCATACAATTTATGGTATTTAGCATTGCATTAGCCATGTGAGTCGGCAGTCTGAAGTCTGGAGCAATGTGTACACACTAAATGGCGGCTAGAAATATTCTGATGCTAAGAACATTATCAAACAGACCCTGCTAACCTTATGAAGGAGGCCCTACATGTGCACACCTCGGACACCACATTTATTGGGAAGCCTTTGTCTTGGCTTTGGAGTCGAAAAGTACCACACCACGAGACTCTGTAGGAGTACCTGACATTGAGAGTCAATGCAATCACAGTTGGCAGGGTGTTTCAGTCTGATTTTTGATTACTTCTAGCGTCGGTTAAGTAGGTTCATGGTTCACTGCAACAAAGTGTGCTTAAAGGACCACATAATCAGTGCGAATTGTGTCATTTTTCTCACTTCGTAAATCGTTTTGGGCTTTTGGAACTGCAAGAAGCGAAATAAGGTGCACACCCGATCAATTTTGCGCTTTTTTTGCCACCATCTAGAGAAGGGGTTTTATAAATAAATTAACTGCGACAAAACCAAGGTAGGAAATGAGTCTTCACGCTTTGCTTGCTGTCACATTCCAAAAGTTGCTGGAAACTCACGTATTTTTGCGTTCTCTAGCGCATCCCATTCCTCGTCGTCTTGGGGCATTTTGCTTGAGTAGGAGATGGGAATGGTGCCTTGCACCCAACAGTAGTTTTCAACATAATTGAGCAGATTGGTTCCACCCACTTCAGTTGAGATGTAGCAAGCTATAGGCTTGAGGAGGTAACTTTTGGCGGTGATGATAACAGTGCAGAGAGAGAGAACCACAACCGTAAATATGAAATTGAATTTGTCGGCAAAATCTTCAACTCCGGTATAGGTTGTCACTTTAAATTTTGACAGGTAGTCCAAAAACGTTGATTCTATCATTGTGTTGAATGACTGGTCTGTTTATTGCGATAGGCTATTGCTGAAAGGTATACTATAGTAAGATTAGTCTGAATTACTGGATTTTCTTCTGTATTTCAATCAATAAACATAGTTGCCTTTAACGGGTTAGTAAATTAAAAAAATAAGACGATCAAACTGCACCCAATTACTTACCCTATTCATCTTGGTTACAAGTTCATCGAAGTATGATTAATTTATCAAGAAAGCCTGTTGTGACTACCACGTAATTTAAATCGGCATAATAAATAAGCACAAAAGTGTTTGCGAGAGCTGTAGCTTCGGCGGCATAGAAAGATGTGCTGATTTAATGAAAATCAATAATCCAGAGCTGGCGGCGTGAGTGGCATTCGCGCAAACAAGAGGCGAACAATGTTCCGACGCGATGAGTGAGCAGAATTCAGACCTTGCGACATTTGGTGCGAAAAGTATAATTTTAACGAAAAACCAAGGTGCCAGTGTGAACAAAAGTAAGAACGACTTAGAATACAACCTGTTATTTGACTTTTTGGCATCAGTGATGGTGAAATATGGGAGTTGATAGTATATTTTTTTAATATTTTGTGCCTAATTGAAGAAGGTGAATTAAGCCGATAGGTTTCTGTAAGAAATGCCGTGCGACGTTTTCCCAGCTGGATTGAGGTTAGTGGGAAAAATCCAAGTAACTTTCTCTCACCGGGAATCGCCATAGATCCTAGCAAATCTAGGCATAAAATGTCATGTAGGCACAACCAGAGTGCCGGTTTACACATCGGGCATGCCCACAACATATCTTCCTATAAATGTGTGATCAAGGAGTATCCTCTTTCCATAGTAGTTTGCCTTAAATTCTATTAAAATCAACAATTTAGAATTACTCTACAGGAAATAGGTACACAAGAATACCTACACACAAAATTTCGGAGGTGTGAACAGAGTTCATGGACTTAGGCAAAACTCAAAACATTAAGCAGAGATGAGAGGCATGAAAACCAAGGAAGTAAATACATTATATTGAGTTGTCAGATAGTTAAAAGGTTCCATGATTACAGTATGAGGCAATTTAAATCGGAAAATTCCCTTGACAACGGGTCTACGAATACGTTACACTTACGCCAACACACTGAACAACGTCGAGAGCAAGTAAGAAGAGGGAATTCTTTACTTCAAATTTATAGTATAGCTCAGAATCATGGCTGACTAAGCAGCTTGAAAGGGCCCAAGATTGACATAATCTGAATTTAATACACAGGAGACTAAACAGAAAATGGAAATAAACCTCAGACGTTGACAAATTGGTGCTTTTTAACTTGGTTTTGCTCGGGTAATTGATTGTACTAGACCACAATCCTTACGCTGAACACAATAGAGTAAATATTGAGCTATCTTAACGGATGCCAAATACAAATAGAAAGAGCACGAATATTAAAGACAGTCTGAGTGTATCAAATGCAAAGTAACAAGCCAATGGGCTTACCAAACGCTGTGAAAAAATTCAAGTGTTCACATGATCGAGTGTAGCTCCAAGTATGAGCGCCGTGTGCGTCTCTCTGATTGGGTAGTTGATTGTTCAATCAGAATTGAATGAATTATGATATTCCAATGTAAGTGGTGTAAAGGAAAATGCATGTCGGATAGAAATCAGGGAAGAATAATGTGACATCTCCTAATTAGAGTGATTGAATTTTAGTTCTCTAAAGATACCGTCCACCAAAATCTTCCACGAGCTCCTAAATAGGAATCAGGACGTGACGTTTCACTGTGACAGGTCCTTTGTGGATGTAAGGACCTCACACAAAAGGACTCCTAAGTTACACTAGGCGTGTCTGCCGAGTGTTTTAGAAAATCCATGTGGAACTTAGTGATTTAGCCAAGCCAGTTTTTTCCCCAAGGGGAGAATTCACTATTCACAGCCCGCCAGATTCCCGTGACGTTTCAAAACAATACGCCCAATCAAAGTACTCGGGAGGACGCATTATTTACGGATTGGTTGACCGCGGATACTGGCGTGAGATACAACCGTCCACCAATGAGGGACAAGTTTTGCGCAAAAGGCTTTTTCGGACTACGGGTTTACTGGATAAGAGCACGAAATGTTAGCTATATAATGATGGTTCATGGGCAAATTTGACTGCTAGCACATTTTTCAACGGAATGCGCCTGAAACCAGACCTGAGGTAGCTGTTAATTCAAACTATCGATTTTATGTGGTTTCTAATGAATTTAACTTCCTGAACTACTGCGAAGTTTTTCCCACCGTGCAAGACCAGCGTGATTGAAAATTGCAAAGGTCCACTGTGCTTCCATGTGGCTCATTTTTGAAAGTGGATGGTACCATTGCGTGGTACCATCCTGTCTAAAGGTCGGGTTGTGAATCAGTTAAATTCGGTATCTCCCGAAGTGAAAAGGGGTTACAGTCTGTTAACCCATTCAGACTAAAGGGCCTTATCGAACCGTGACCCACTATGTGCCAACGAATTAGAGCGGTGGATCCCAAAAAAGGAGGCCACCCTGTCTAAAATTAATAGCAGCTTGTAGTGGTAGAACCTGGAGTCCACTGTTAGGCGAACGAAGGCGCTTTTTACTGTCTCGATTCACAGGGCGACCAACTCGATCTAACGCTAGTCATAATTCTAATTGTAGTCAGCAATTTAACCCGGTAACATAATCCGAAGGAATGATTCGGTAAAGTAGAATTTGATTGTGTTTTTCGCGATTCATTGAAGTGAATTCGAAGGGCATCGAACTTGTGAACCAAAATTCAATTTCAAACCACTGATCAAAGCTTGTAGAACCTCTCTAACATCATTTTAAATGAATAAGGGGAAAACTTTTGTGCAGACGATACCTCAAGGGGTGGTTTACGATAACGGGGTGGCTCAATTTGTGTCCACTTGGGAGCAAAGACCATGACCTAAGGTCATTAGGAGATGTGGGTGCAGAAAAATTTCGGTTCGCATCCGCCTAAGCAGTAAGTAATTCGTTTGCCCTAGTGAACACCAAGAAACGAGGTTTGTAGGCAGTTGGCGTCGAAGTTATGCAGAAGGGGACCGAAATTTGCTCGAGGAGGAACTCTGCGTGACGTTCAACATGCTCACTATCTAGACACCTGACTGAAATTAAGTCAGCACCAGCACCAAAACACATCTCAGCGCGTGCACGATCCTTGCATGACGTGATTAGCTCAAATTAGCCACAAGTGGGGATCTCTTAGCACGCTCTCTAGCACTGTTTTGCTCTGAGTCCAGTGAGTGAAGATGGAGAAAATACCGTCACACGAAAGCAGTGCCGTAGAGGTTAACTTTGCAGTGAGGTGGTTCAATGTTGGCAAATTTTTTGGCCGCATTCGCCTTTACCGTGCACAGACTAATCAGCCTCGCAAGAAATGGGACTGTAGTTGGTGGGTTGGCCATGTTGTGTCAAGGACCGATTCGAAGGCAGTCCTGGTCACACTGAACTGAGTTTCATTTGGACCTCTTTACCGTGGATAGCTCAGTGCCGTGCAAACTGCCGTCGTACCAGCACAATTCCCGTCAGTTCACCCCAAGCCACAAAGCAGTATCACCTCACGGAGTTGACTCTGACTGGAGTTTGCGTGGTGTGGAGTGAAAGGACGGGTAAACTACGAATGAACCGCCAATACAAACGTGTAATAAAACAGCGAAACCCATTTGATACCTTGTAACAAATAGCTTGTGTGCATAACTCAGGTTGGCGAATTCGCACACACCAATGCGCACCACTTATGTGTGCTTGGCGAAAAAAACGTGGACTTGTAACTCTCGGTCATAAAAGTGACCTTCTTTTATAAAACCACATTCCAAATGAAATGAGATGGGATCATATCCAAAATAGCTAGGTACAATTTGCCATGAAAATCTGGGATCTTATTTGAACCCAACCACTCCTAACTGACAAAGTACGCCTCAGTGTTAAACGTCTGTACCTTTGCTACATTAAGCTCTTGGCAATCTTGCGTCGTGTTACCTTCTGCTAGGAATACGATAAAGAAATAAGTTTCAATGATACTCAAAACACCTTCTTGGTTTTGTTTATAAGAATCAAATGCAGCACTTATTACAGAAACAAGCGTTTGTAGACACAAAGAGGCACACCAAGTCTAAAATTGCATCCCACCCAAAGAGTCATGTTAAAACTTAACGCTTAGTCCGATTGTGGATGAAAAAAGGCGAATGATTGAGGAATTATTCCAGTGATAGTCACGACTACATGTGGATGCAAACCAACATCACCACTTTAGAGGGCATCAAGGACGTGACAGTGGTGGCGCGCATTTCGATTGAAGTGACGATTAAAATGCGACAGCAACACGTACTGCTCTGGGTCGGCTGCCTCGGTCACCACAGCCGGGCGTCCATCGGTACGCGACGGGGCGTCACGGGGCCGGTCGGCGGTGGCGCGGATCGCTGAGTGGCGCGTCCGCCGGCCACACCGAGGGCGGCGGGTGCGCAGCTCCGCCTCAGGTCAAAACGCACTTTGAGGGTGAACCGACGTAGAATGAGGTGCTCCTCAAGGAAGCAAATCCGACGTTTGTAAGTGAGGACAGCTCAAGTTCAAGACGTTGAATCAATTAATTAGGTTATCTTAGCAATTTTTTAATCCCACATTTCCAATTATGATTTTCAGTTTCTTTTTTTAAAATTTGGCATCAACGCAGCTGCATGCTCGCATAATTAAATGCCAGTTGCCTGCTCATTAACAGTCAGTCTCAATCTAAAGTTACTAAACCTGCTGTTGTGAATGGTGATTGGATTAACATTTACACCACTTCAACTAGCTGCACATTTTTAACGGATTAGTTTCGTACACCTGCTGAAATGTATTATTTTAACAGAAAACATGGTCATGTTTAAGCCTCACCTTTACTCTATCGGTTGTTTAGGACAGCCTTAAGCTTACAGCTCAAAATCTAGGACATTGAGTAAACGACCACAAGGCCCTTAACCAAATGAACCGCACCAAAAGTGGGCAAATAATCAATTTATGACGGAAAACTATGAAGTACTGCTTCGATGTGCATGGTCACCAAGCTAACCAACTCGTGACTTAGATGTAACTTAAATGTGGAATTTGGTCGAATTAGACAACACCTGTCAGGGCCGATGAGCAGCCGAGGGCGAGACGCTGCCGTCCGCTGCCGTCCACCGTGGGCGGCGTCTGTGGGCCCTCTCAACACCCCAGACGACTTAGTTAAGCACGGATATTGAGGGGGGTTTGAATTGCGAAAAGTGCTGCTACAATTGTTATGCCTTAACATAATGCTGACTGTGTAAAAATTCCGTGAAACGGCAAAACTTGATGTTTGACGACACGAATCTTTATAAGAAATGTGGTTTTAGACGTCTTGATGCGGTTGTGTCGTGGTCAATACACCAGAATTTACGCTGCCTGATTTCACAGCGTCAGCAGCAGCACGTCTAGCGCATGCCGAGTGTGTGTGTGAGTGTGTGAGCCCACGCATTGCTGCCGCATCACCACGCGCCCGCATGTGCTTTTGGCTTGGTTTCCTCGCAGGGCTAAAATTTGAGCCAAATCACAGTTAACACTAAGCCATGTCTGCAACTGAGATGGTGATCCTACTAATTGCCAACTTTACCTCAACTCGACATTGTATTAGCTGATTGGGTACTTTCACGCCTTAAATAGGTGATGTGAAGTTGACGACCAGAGCCAATCACATTGTTTGCCGCAGACACTTTTAATCGCTTGGTCTTTGGAATCGAAGTGGCACCTAACTCAACATAATTTGCACCTGTTAATTGGTTTTGGTTGTGCCAACGAGCTGTCTGAATTTAAAATGCAAATTTTAGACCTTTGGGTTGTATGCAAATTCAGTCTCGTGTTCTTTTTGAAGAAAGGATCGTTCGATTTGCATATAATCCTGGGTGTCAAACTGCACACACGAGCCCAGGGCTCCCACACAAGCAACTTTTGTCCCTTGATTTTTGGGGCACGCGTGAATACCTGCACATCCTCTCGAATGTCCCACCTACACAGCGTCAAGACTTGATCGATTCCAACAACTGGCTGGACATTGCTTCGGCCGTTTAAACTCCCACTGGATTTGGTCGCCTTTGTTTGACTGGTGAAGCTCATGCGATCCCGCTGTCAGACAATGCGAATGTTTCTAGTTGATTTTGCAGCTGTGTGAACTCAGCGTGCAGTGTTAAAGGAGGATAGTGGTAGAAGATCATTTGCCCAACTGCTCTCCCATTACTGCTCGACGCCATCTCAATTTCAATGGTGGTAGGCTTGTTCGTATATTTGCGGCAACTTCTAAACTGGACTGCCTGTGATATACCTGTGAAAGCCCCTAGGCCCAAAAGGTTACATCTTTGGAAGAACAATTTTTTGAAGTGCAACATTTTAATAAACTGAATTTTTCAAATTTTGAAGGGACGACTTAGCACTTGCACGCAATCAAGGTTGCGAAGAGCGTCTAATTAGATGCGATCGCAGTTTGGTAATGATTGCGCCCAATCGCAGCCTTAGCCGATTTGCGCTCTTCCGCCACTGGCATTTGTCGAAGCCACTCATACCATCATTAATGCTCTCTTTCAACGTTTATGGATGAAATGGGAGTTTGCAGCCCTTTCGATTGTCGTCTGCTCAAACCAGAATACTAATGACCCTTTAATATTTTCCATGGATCTAAGTTCTCTCAAACTAGACATGTTCTCATTCAATAAATCACACATGCTGTGAATTGTCAAGTGGCAGGTCAAACTGGCGTCTTAGAGTGCCAGAATTGTGAGAGTTAGTCCCATGCAAACAGACTGGAGGTGGACGTTGGTCTCAGACTTGCCACCCAAAACTAGACACCATCTGTCACCGTGAGACCATTTTACTAGCGAGGAAAGTTATGTAAAAAGACGCGTTTATTTGCCACCAATTCAAGAATAAATCAGAAATGGCTTATCTGCTCCTGCATGCCCCATTTAAGAAGCCGCTTGCCCCAACATTTCGTCGCTGGGCGCGTTTGTTGATCGTGGTGGCATTGAAAGAGGTGCCACGAGGGCTGGAAATCTTTTGTATTGCCATCTTACAGTAATTAGACGGTTCGATTAGCAAGAGCGATGCAGAACAGGAGGATACAGAGTTCAAGGTTGCTTCATGCTTGGCAAAACACAATCCAAGCTTCTTCAGTATAGGGCCTTTTACGGAATTGCGCAAAGCCCTGGCCCGTTTTGTGGTTTTACCCAGTAGGTGATTAGGGAACACGACGTGTAGCGGAAAATATTTGGAAATTTACCTGCCATTCGTTTGTTTTTCTGCGTCTGCAACCTCGACCCGCTTCGCCTCCATGCTCTGAGTGCCACGAAGCCATGCCAGGAACAATTGTGGGTGAATGAGGTGTTGGTGGTGGTGGTGGCGGTAGCGGCGATTAGTCAGCTGGGGTGTGCAAGAGAAAACGACATCCGCGCGTGCTGGAACGTGTTGTGCCTCGTTTTAGCTTTTGTGTTTTATTTAGCCTGACCACCACCGCTGTGCGACAGAGCCCGGGCTGTGGCGTGACTCGAGAGTTTTCCTGTGCCAATGCGAGGCGGCGATTAGCGGCGCCGCACCAAGAAACAGCCATTGTCTTCGCCTACCAGGACTCGGAAGTCCATGTTACTCGAATCAAAGGGATGATGGACCTCAAATCATGATGGTATCGCATGCATGAGGCATGCATGCATGGGAAAACAGTTTGACCTCTCGACAGCCTGCTAAAATCCTTCTTAAAAACTGAAAATACCGGATTATTCCCAGGACTTCTTGTTATTAAGATTTCCAAACCTTCGTTTAGACAAACTTTAAAATTTTTTCATAACAATGCAAGCCTTCTAAGCAAGGAGGTTCGTGTAAAAGAGGTGACTGTTTAGATCTGACGGATTATTGTTGGCTGGAAACCTGTGATTAAGTTTCGAAGGAGGAAAGTCAAATTTAGGAAACTTGAAAGACTTGTTATGGGCCCAGCATGTGGTCTTGAACCACACCGGGGCCACTGAATTAACCCTGGCCCGATTACGCTGCCCTGATACCCGCGATGAAGAAAAAGATCTGAGAGGACGTAGACACAACCGTTTACTTCAGAGCTCAACCACTTTGGTGTCATTGTAAAGTGACGTTTGCACGTGAGTATTTATACCTTAGATGTGTAAGTCATGGATGCGCTAGGTGTGAGGATAATCCAAGATAAATACCCGTGCGAATGAGGAGGGAGTTGAGGATCCGCGCTGCTGGCGACATGCTGTGAAAGGGAGGTCTCTATGTCGGAGGCTGGAGTAATGGGAATAGCGAGTGTGATTCAACGCGATTCACAACCGACTTTTTTCTGGATAACCGCCCATCACAATCATCAATTCAAGTATTAACATGGCGGTAGCCCTTGAATGTGCGGTTGTGCCTCATCTAAAGTTTTTGCCACTCAAAGGAGAGAGCGTGTACGACGAAGCAAGCAACCACGCCACACATAGGGCTCATCCATACTTGTTGTAAACAAATTTTTCATCTTATAAGGATATCAGAACCGAAGGACTTCAGCTTATAGTACCTCCGAATCAAAGATGAATTTCCAGAAAACATGACATGCAAAACTTGACTGGAGTCCTGGTACATTCGATCTGGGCTTTTTTACCCTACTCGCTACTGACCGCATTGAATCTAACTTAAAGCCCTCAACTCGAGAACAAAAATACATGCATGAAGGACACTGCTTCCACCTGCTTTCCCCTAGATGCTACCATGGTCCATTCGTTACCATCGTGAGACTAAGTTTGCTGTGTTTACCGTCCCGCGCCGCCACGCAGAAGTCAGAAACCATCCCAATGGGTGTCAAGGCCAGGCGTCTCTGCGCGCCCGCGTTTTGCTCACCTGCCTGCGCTCGAGACCCGCTGTTGCGCCACGCCGCAGCCGGGTTGCTTGGACGCTCTGTTTCCAAGGTGGATTAAACGCACGCACGCACACACACACACAGAGCCACGGACGCATCCACTAGTCAACGCTGGTGCGACAACAAAACGACCAAATTAACTGCAAGGAATCACATGTACCAGAAATGAGAGTTCATTCGGGTGAAATGGCATAAACAGAAAAACGCAACACGGAAAATGAGGTCAGTGACGAAGCTATGCCACGCACAGAACAGAAAGGCGATAACACGCGCTGTTTCAAGAAAACAATAGCACCTATTCGTTTGCCACAGTAATTAAACAAGAATTCTTCACCTCAATGGGAATTACCAAGATAAGTGAATCAACGGTCTGCAAAATCACTCAGTTCGAGGAATTGGAAAACAAAACACAAATTCAGTCCTCCTCAATAACCGTTTTTTATCGTTATTGGAAAAGGCGATTTAGCAATTAAGGTTAGTCAACCACAAATTAACAATGACGAAAGGCAAGTGAGGCAATTCGGAGGGAGGTGTTGCCAAAGGAGGTGCTCTTTTGACACTTGAGCATAGCTCTAAACATAGGCGAGGGCTGCCACATCAGCCTCTTCGACGTTTTCCTTTTCATTGGAGGCGCTTTTCGAAAAGTTTCGAAATTGCGGGTACATATTTTGCGGCACAATCTGCGGCGCCGTTGCGGATTTCAAGTCCGGCGAGTGAAACCCGCGCTCGAGGCTTTCGTTTGCGAGGCGGTAGCGCTCCCATAGGGCCCTCACGAGCGCCGCGGCGATCCTCTCGCCGGCGTTCAGGCGCACCATCCGCACGAGGAAGGTGCCCTCGTGCCGGAGGTACCTTCGGACAAATTGGCTCACTTCTCTCTCGTCGTACTGTGTAAAGTCCTCGACGTTAAGTTGGATGTACTTGACTATGTAGTTAACCTCTCTAGAGCGAGTACTGAAGCGGAAGATCCACAGCGAGAGGAAGAAAGCGGTGATGCAGGCAGCAGCCAAAATCCACCACCAGAGGAAGACGTAGATCTTCTCGTTGAGCATGTTTAGGGGCAGTGCACACTGGGCAGTCACGGCGTTGGTGGCGACACCTAGGAGTTTCAGCTCCACGTAGCAAAAGCCAACTCGCGGAAAGACCTGTGTCATCTGCCAGTCGTGGCCACCGACAATGTCCTTCAAGACTCTGAGGCCGAAAGGGAGATCAGCCGTGGAATTGAAGCCGAGGAAGCTTTGCATCATGAAGATTTGGCCAATGGCGTTGAGAAGGTAGAGGACCTTCATGACCAAATAGGCCGAAACTATGTGGATCCCGCTTGGACACCGGCGCGAGCCAAGACCCGTCGCCCGAGTCGTTGTGACGTAGCTCTACAATGTCATATGAGCGCACACTACTACTAGCCACCTGTGCTTCAACTACTGCACGCACCAGAATAAGTAGAGGGTGGAAGGGGAGTTCTGTGCGAACCCAACCCGAACAAATTACTCGAGGATTTGTGTTTCGGAAGTGTTTGGCGGTTCCTCGGGCTAGCATTAACGGCTTCGAATAAAACATTGACCCCTGTGTGTCGGAGAATACCCACCTCGTGGATCGCTGAGGGCCATGCGCACAGCAGTTCCTTGGTACTATAGCATAGACCCCTGACTCCATAGAGGCATTTTTTTTATAAAAAAACAAACAAAATGTACCTACCTTAAAAAAGAAGTACTCTGCCATGTCAGCGATTTCCTCGATGAGGGCCTGACGTGCAGTCGGAGCAGCACTGAGCGCCTCCACTGAACGCAGAACCACTCGGCTGAGTGTGCCGCCCTTGGTCCCGGTTTGCAGGTATATGGCCTTCCAAATTAACCGGGGTAGCATGAAAAGACAGCACTGAAGGCCGAGAACAAATGGGACCCATTGGTAGTAAACTATACACGTAAAAAAGTAGATTAATGTGCTACTTATGGTCGCTTAGTAAATTATATTTACGACATGTTTGCAATAGTCGATTTCACTGGTGGGCACAATGATTTCTCCCAGAGGTGCCGAAAGTAGTTCTACCACAAAAGCTGGGAATCTATCTCTATTTTTATTAATTATTCCTACGAATCTGTTTCTTAGTGCACATAGATTTCAGGCATTACTAATTCGTTTCTTTGAATCACCCTATAGTTTAATTTCAGCAAATGTAAAATTGCATTTCTTTTTGCGATAATCATAAAGAAATATGCAGACCTCGCCCACATCTGAAGTGGATGGTGGGCATCTGATTAGGGCTAAATTTGCACGTTCTGATCCGAAGTGAAGGTATAATTTCACGTCGCCATATAATTCACGCACATTTTCAAATGGGATTGTTGAATTTTGTGAGTTTGCTGCTCTTAACCCGTACAACAGAAATGCGTGAAGGCAGAACGCAGGTTCGGGTGTCCTGGGGTGTAGCGTCAGGTCAATTTATTGAGCGTCATTTAGTGGTTGCCAGTGGATCAGGTGGCAGCTGGTGAAGGCGCACTGTGAGGAGACTGCGAGAATCACGTCCACAGACGCTGCAGTTGTGTTTTCAGTTGGATTTTAAACTCAGCTTCACGTTCCATTAGAGGAATCATTAGTTGGGCTTGCAAATTGGCCAGAAACCACTGGAGATAAGGAATACCATTTTGCCAGTGCAAATCACTGCAACTTGTGTGGTTTGGCTTCATTTATACACGATGGTGAAGGCCACACAAGACGCGACCTTGGCTTCGGCGATCCTGAGCTGCAGGCACCAAGCGAGGCAGAAAAGGCAGCACATTTTGTGAAGCAAACAGAGTTTAGGAGGAGGAGGGGGAGGGGGAGGCAGAGGGATGAATGGAAGCGTCACTTACGCATTTTCTTCTCCTCCAGTCGCAGCCAGTCACTTTCACTCGTGGGCATCTTGCCAGCGTAGCTGATGGGCACGGTCCCCTGCACCCAGCAGTAGTTCTCGACGTAGGTGAGAATGTTGGTCCCCCCAGCCTCCGTTGCTAGGTAGCAGGAGATGGGGTTGAAGAAGTACTGTTTCGTGGAGACCACGAAGAAGCACACGGCCAGCACAATCACGCAGCCCATGTAATTGAATCGATCACCGAAGTCTTCCAAGTCACCGAACGGTGCATTTACGTGCTCGCATATCTTGAGCGCGTCGTCAACCAGCTTGGTCATCTTGTGTTGTGCTCGTCTAACAGTGTGAATTTGTGCAGAGGCCAGCGCAGACCTTTGTACTCTCCGCTGACTATCCTCTTGACCACTTGCCTTTTTTTATTGTGCTCTCTACGCTAAGTATGAAAAAAAATTGGAACGTCACCGACCACTGACTGCCTAATTTCAAAAATGCCAGATTTGCTGCCACTTGGGGAGGTTTTACTATACTATAACCCAGCTACCCTTTCTGTAGGCGGTCTGTCTGCACCCCCTTACACCCCTTCATTTAACCGTCCCTAACAAGCCGATAACAGCGACAATAGAGGCTACGATGGATGCTACTGTTTATTCGCGGCATGCCAACCAAGTGTGTTTGTAACGAGTGTGCGTGAGCGTGATTAACGGCTGCGAGCTGCAGCCAGTAGCCATTTTGTCACACTAGATCAACTCGACAACAAGCTTCACTCAAGCGCGCTCGCTGACGCCTCACCTCGAGTATTTCCCTCCTCGAGGGTGCAGGCTGTGAGACGCACAGTAAAAGCTCGAAAATTGGCGAGCCGAATCAGTAGAGCATACTAGGGGCCTCAGGGGTCGACAAAAACGGGAAGTGGGGCAGGCTGGGGATGCAGGATGGTGTTGAGTAAGTTCGTCGCTGCTAGCGTGTGAGGAGGGACCATTACTGTCATCCGTGTAAGAAACTTTGAGATAGTATTCTACGGTCAATTTCTGTCAATTCTGAAACGTGTCTTTGTGTCAGAAGGGGTCGTGAGGGGGCCTCTTGAGGTGATCGAGACAGAGAAAGGCATAAGGGGACATGGATAAATTAAGCCGAATAAGTGCCTGCTGTGAAGAAACTCTTGTTGGGGAAGGTCGAAGTCTCTCCCCACGCCTCGGAAGGGAAGTTTCCTGGTTGCGGAGCATTGCGTCGGTGGACTTTGAAATTGGACACAAATTTCAGCCCATGAACGGACATCTTTGTGAACGCCAGGCCGAACAAAACGGTGTTATCAAGCGCGCAGTTGCGCGAATGTCAAAATTCGAAAGCAAGTGGAGGCATTTAAATATGTGATTTCTAAATTAGGTAGGAAGATAGGGCCAAGGTCTGCTAATTAAGATATCACACGTGATTATCGTAGAATAGTGAAGAAGTGACAGATCTTACAGCTTTGGACTAGAATTCGTAAAGAATTTGTAGTAATTATGTTTCATTATTTTGTGCCACAGATAACTTTTTAAAATCAATACCAGAGACCAAAAGATGATTTGAATATTTATGTTTGAGAGTGTGCGTCGGCTACGGCGTTATCGGTCCCATCGACAGGCACATGACATAAGAGAGAGAGAGAGAGAAGGTGACAGACCGGGGAAAACAACCGCATAATCACCAGTCGAGGTGGGTTGCGTCCGGTTGCTTTGGCATGTGCTAAATGGAAGCAGCAAGTGTGAGTCCTGGGGCCACGGTGCAGTGTTGCCGGCAAGATTTAATAATTTGAACCAGTAAAAGTGGTGGAAACTGTGTGGTTTGCACACGAAAAAACCTAGCTGAAGAAGCTGCGATGTCCATAGCTAAGCATGTTTCTTGATTAAAAGATACTATTAACGACGGATAAGATGGTCATCATAGTAGTGGTATATTTTGTTATAAACAGCACTCACAAGGCCCTCTATCAATGATCTGAACTTCACCTACGGAATATGGAAACGCGGCCTCGCTATGACGGCTGTGTTCTTCCGATAAATCCATTAACACTACTAATAATTTGATAGTACACACGTTATAAAAAACGGGTTAAACGTGCCATTATAACTAACCCCATTGTTCTAAATCCTCTTTCGGATACGACGTAATTATCTTATCATAGCCAAAATACAACTATTCGCGGAAGGAACTTAGGATCTCCACCGAGAATGATCTGTCATTTGCTCAAAAGCATGCGATTTTTTGTTTTCGCTCATTCCTTACCAAAGGGCCTTTTCCGGTCAAAGCTTTCGCGGAAGCAATAACAAGAGTTGAATAATCTAACATGAACAGACATAACCCCATATTGTTAGAACTTGATTAGCTCGCTAATCAGATTACCAAATGAGAGAGTTCGCGTTTATTGACTTTGGCCCCAGCGTTCTTATCTTGTCATACGCTAGTCGTCATAACCGAGATAGTGTGCATCATCAGACAACTCAAAGCAATGACAACCGCGAAAGCGGGTATTTTTTCAATTTCTTTTCCAAAACTACCTGCTATTGTATTCAAATACACACCTACTTGATCAAGGGCAAAAAATCCCAAGTAGTATCCCAAATTATAAAGTTTGCATTATCTTTAAGCTGCTCGCCTTTTGAACCGCACAGTAAACAACACATGAGCATGAGTACCCATACCATTTCAGGAACTTTCGAGTAACGTGTGGTATTTTAACTATCGCTAGTGCCCGTAATTATAAAAAGGGGTTCAGGAAGAGCAATCTGTAAATAAACCTTTTGAAGCTGACGGCCAGGTATGGACACTGAATTACCTGAAGCAATTAACGCCTCCTTAGCTGCGATTTAACACATGAAAGGTTCTCCGAAGAACAGGATCATTCACGTGGCCACGCTTTGGCATGTGTGCACACAAAACTGGCCACGCAGAATCCAGAGGTATGCCTTGCTATAAGGTCAAGTTTGAGGGATCTTGCATTTGTGGGATTACAGCGCATGCCATCCCGAATTCAACTTGCGTCCACTGTGTCAAAGTTGAAGTCAATTGTCACTTTGTGTTTTGCGTAGATAGAGGTGGGACTTTTGTGGTTGGGTAACATTGCTCTCAAGAAATTCGGGTCCTTCGTTTGATCAATGAACTCCTCAAAAGGCTGCAATTAATTGATTCAAAGCAGTTTATTTAAGGTATTACACCGGAAATACCACAAATTTAACGTGCTACACTGGGCACTTCCTGCGATCCAGTCTGAAGGGGAAGTTTTGATAGAGGACGAAAGGCAGAAGAAAATTTTCTATCCAATCGGTGTGCAGTTTCAAGCCAAAATAAGTAAAATCGTGGACTGGCATGGCCTCGTCAGCGGGCAACCCTAACAACGACTCGAGCTTCGGTAGCCAAGAAACATCGCAAATGCACCATCAAGACTAGTCATGCAGCATTCTAGCTGTGTTTTCCCACAACTAGGACAGTTCTGGTTCTTCAATCAAAACGGAAGTATTCTCAATTACCGTATAGACGGGATAAAAATTGCCTAGGCTCAAACATTGCTTGATTTATGCAACGGCTTGCGGAAATCAATTGTGAATTATTGTCTTCCGTAATTGGAATCGTTTGAACCCACCCAATCACCTGACTGGAACATTTCAGCGGAGGGTTCGTTGCTACTTCTGCCGCGAGCCCAAAGCCTGATCGACACTAGCCCCGAGGTATGGACAACTTAGCCAATGCGCTTCTGTGCGATTTTAATCCCATCGAACCTACGGCGACAGCATCGGCGGGCTGTCAGAAGCGTGACAAAAGGCTCAATTGAGCGACGTTAATTCACGACATGAAAACTATCGCACGCTTAGAAAACGAAAGCATAATCACTTGGAAAGACTGCATCTCATAAGCCTACAGGACGTGCTATTTGCGCAGATTTCGGGTCCTGACCGTTGAGCGCTGAACAAACCACCCTGTCATCCGACGCATGCAGTTGCTTGTCGTTGAAGGACTCACAGACGCATTGGCTGCGATTATTCTCACTTACAAAAGTGAACCACGAGCTTGGCAATCAGAAGTCCGAGGGAAACTACTTGTTAACCCGTAGATACCCTAATTTCGCTGCTAAAATACTGCTGCCACCTGGAGTGGATTAGGACAGCCTCAAAGCCAAACCACCCGGAATTCGCCATTCGGTGACACTTCAACGAAGCAACTATAACTATTACCCCAATAATAAAGGCACTTTCAACGGAACGAAGATTTACTTGCATATAAAAGATGAGGAAACAATGCAACGGTGCATGGACCCGACAGGGAGCCAATCCTATACCACCACTATACACACAGACACGAAAGCGACTGTACAAGCTCTGACAAACTACAGCTCCTCTTTCGGAGTGCTATCGCCTGGTGGGGGTGGGGGAGCGCCGCTTTGCTCGTACAACTTTCTAATAATAGGTTGTACAACTTCTTCGATCTTCTTCTTCTGTTCTTTGTATTCGCTGACTTCAGCTTGCGGGTTGTTCTCCATCCATTGGATTGCTTCGTCCGCTGCACCCTCGATGATCTTGACTTCTTCGTCACCAAGTTTTCCTCCCACACTTTCCTTGTCCTTAACCTGGTTTTTGACAGAATATGCAAAACTTTCAAGTTCATTTCGGGCTTCCACTCGCTCTTTAACTTGCTTGTCCTGGTCAGAGAACTTCTCTGCATCATGAATCATGCGTTCAATTTCCTCAGGGCTAAGACGGTTGGTCTCCTTGTTGATAACAATTTTGTTCTTTTTCCCTGTACCTTTGTCTTCAGCAGACACACGAAGGATACCATTCACGTCGATCTCAAAGGTGACCTCAATCTGAGGAACACCGCGCGGAGCAGGTGGGATACCCGTAAGGTCAAACTTGCCCAAGAAATGATTGTCCTTTGTCATTGGACGCTCACCCTCGTACACCTGAATGGTGACGGTGGGTTGATTGTCAGCTGCAGTTGAAAACACCTGCGACTTTTTGGTAGGAATAACAGTATTTCTTGGGATGAGTTTCGTCATTACGCCTCCGACGGTTTCGATACCCAATGTAAGCGGACAAACATCAAGAAGGACGATGTCGCCAGTGTCTTCAACACCACTGATAACACCAGCTTGTACAGCGGCACCATAAGCAACAGCTTCGTCCGGGTTGATACCTCTACTTGGCTCCTTACCATTGAAATATTCTTTGACAAGTTGCTGAATCTTGGGAATTCTCGTTGATCCACCGACCAGGACAATATCATCAATGTCTTCCTTTTTAAGACCAGAATCCGACATTACCTTCTCGACCGGTTTGAGAGTGCTTCGGAAGAGGTCGTTGTTCAGTTCTTCAAAGCGTGCTCTGGTCAATGTCTCCGAAAAATCTTTGCCTTCGAAGAAGCTATCGATTTCAATAACAGTACTGTGTTCAGTGCTCAGAGTTCTTTTCGCTTTCTCGACTTCGCGCCTGAGCTTCTGAACAGCACGATGGTCCTGGGAGATGTCCTTGCCCTCCTTCTTTTTGTACAACTTAATGAAATACTCAATGAGACGTTGATCGAAATCCTCCCCACCAAGATGGGTATCACCACTTGTAGCAACAACTTCAAATACGCCATTGTCAATCGTCAATAAGGAAACATCAAATGTACCACCACCAAGATCGACAACAAGGATGTTCTTTTCGTCGTCTTTTTTGTCCAAACCATAGGCAATGGCTGCGGCTGTCGGCTCGTTGATAATTCTCAGTACGGTTAGACCGGCGATGGAGCCAGCATCCTTCGTCGCCTGGCGTTGAGCGTCGTTAAAGTAAGCGGGTACCGTAACAACCGCGTGGGTGACTTTGGTTCCCAAATAGGCCTCAGCAATTTCTTTCATTTTCCCAAGTACCATGGCGGATACCTCCTCAGGGGCGAAATCCTTCTTTTGATTATCACCGACCTCAGCCTGCATGTAGGGTTTGTTGTTTTTGTTAATAACCTTAAACGGATAACGCTTAATGTCACTCTGCACATCCTTATCGTCGAAATCACGTCCAATCAGTCGCTTGGCATCAAACAAAGTATTTCTCGGATTCGATGTCAACTGATTTTTTGCAGCGTCACCAATAAGTCGATCACCGTCAGAGGTAAACGCGACATATGAAGGTGTGATGCGATTGCCTTGGTCATTTGCGATAATTTCAACACGTCCACTCTTGAAAACACCGACGCTGAAAGAAGGTTAACACATGAAGCGATAAGTGAGGCTGCATCATTGTTTGCTAACCGTAACTACGACCGATAAGATAAAATTTTGGGTGACAAATAATCGAACAGGGCTATTAACTCACGAAAAGGACCGTGATTCTTTTACATCTACTTTTCAAGGTAAACATCAGAAATGCATTTACATAAGGGAAACTTAGGGGGGCATCCATGAGTTCTGGTCACCAACATCAATTCATAACAAGACACCTATTTTACTTGAATATATCGTGAAAAGTAAACTGACGTCATGTCCCAACCAAGAGGAGGATATAAAACCACATACAAATTGCAAGCAAGTCTGATAACTTACCAGGAATAAGTTGTGCCCAGATCAATCCCAATAACAGTTCCGTAATCTTCTTTACCCGATTCTTCCTTACAACTTACAACCACACAAAACAACACGGTAAACACGAACACCGCACGCATCCTCGGAGAAGTAACGGGGAACCAAAATGGCGTTCTATTTATAGGTAATCTCTGACGATGTGTGAGAATTTGATTGGTCAACGTTTTACTTCGTCATCAAACGTCATTCTAGAAATTATTAAAATAACAAACATGGCATGGCTGAAATACAGCATTTAGACATAATATTTGAATTAACGATTAAGCTGTAAAATTATAGTTTTGATAAAATTTACTTTCTAGATTTATATTGGTGATTTACTGAAAATTATTTTGGATGGACTTAGGTCTTTGATGTTGCAGCGACCACTAAAAAAAGGATTTTGCAGTTAATTTGAGAAATAAAAAAATTTCCGATCCCTCAGAAACAGATGTATCATAAAGGAGAACTGTAACTTATTTGCTTTAGTAAATAAATATTACATAAAGTCATGCTCATCTGAAAAAAATTCAAAGAGTGGTTTGAGGGATTGCTTTAATTCTAAATTTTGATATTTGGCATTTTTTTACTCCATCCAATTTATACATAAATAGGAAATAGAATTCTAACCGAATCCCAATTTTGTTTAAGAGTTAATAATATTTTATTTGGAATCTTTTCATTTTTTTACTCTTTGTTGAGACAACCCAAAGGAGTAGCAATATGTGCTTGCGGTATGTAACGCGCGAGAGGGTATCCGACCTAAGAGAGGAGATGGAGTACTTGTGAATCGACAAGAGAGGCATGGTCCGAGCAAACACACGGACTAAGTCATTGGACGAAGATAGAAAAATTCTTGGAGGATTTATTCGGAGAATGACTGCGGGGCAATTAAACGGAAATGAGGGGCAACTTGACGAAATAATTCAAAAGGTATGCTAAGATTCATATCTTAACTGTTAGGTAGAATTAAAAAGGTAAATCATGTAAAGAAGTTACCAGGCATGAATAGTGTTTGATGGAATGGTAGATGGTGTGCGTGAATGGTAGTAACTTAACAAGGCGCTTAAATGTCGTAAAGCAGTGTCTTGAAATTGGATACCCTGTAGTATTAATAATAATTATGAGAAAGTAATTGCTTTAAAATGAGTTCTGACATGAAAACCTGGATCGGCAATGCGTTTTAAAGAACAAAACTACAGTTTTTCGATGTCGAGTAGAGCCACATTTGCAATTTTTGCAGCTGAGGTCACTATACTTATGTAAATACGAAATCTGTGATATAAATAATGCAGTATTAAAATAACAATTAAGTCAGAATATGGAAAATTTAGAATAACTAAGGTCCCTCAGAAGGATTTCGTCAACCGTATCTAACTTAAGATAATGCGAGTGCTTTTCATGCACTCCTTGTCAATTACTTTAGTTGCCTTTTCATTTGTACTTTGGGTATAGTACGAATCTAAGTTATTTTTCGCATTTTTGTTTTTCTATTGGTATAGTTAATTTTTGCAAACACCAAAACATGCTCCAATTATATTGTGGCCAAGGATATATAGTTAAGAAATGCTAAAAAGACATTATCTAAAAATGACAAAAGGTCAGCGACTAATTCTATGGCGTGATTGTGCGGACTCATTCAACAAGGGATTTCGGAGACCCACCAATCCACTTGTTCTGTATTTAGCCTGTGGTGATATTTGAACCCGTCGGTTCAGATGGATAGCGATGATTCTGACTTGAAGAGATGTGTTAATGATGGCAAACTAGATTTAACACTGTTTAAGAAAGAGTGTTCTAGTCTCATAGACGCCATAAGTCTTGCCTGGAAGCAAAAAAATTCAAAGCAACCAGTATTTTTTATTTTCAGTTCTAAAACATGTCTAGGCGGCTCTCAACACATTTGGAAAACATGTTATTGCATTAAAAGCCATAAATCGACGGACTCAGTTACGAATCAAGTGTCTTCGCGATGTTACCTATCAGGTATGGTCCCGATTCCTATATTACTCATGAACTTAGAAAAAACTTGCTGTAGACCAGAAGACACGTCAGCTTCAAAATTTACTTTATGAATTAGGACACCTGAAGGACTCCATCCAAACCTGTTTGGAGTTCAGGTATTATTAAAGAGCTTACAGCAGTGTGAATAGGTCTTTGCATGATGAAATTGGTCTTATTCCTAAAGAAGAGTATCTTAAAACAATCGACAGCTCAGACTCCTCTGTGTCGGAACACCAACAGACACTCAACCGTCTTTATTGGGAATTAAAACAGAGGAAAAAGTTTAGCTCATTGTGGCCATTATTACTATGATAGATTAAACGAAAGCCTCAACGAAATGTCAAGGTCGATGGTGGAAGTCAAAGGTAAAATAGCTGAAAAACAGGCTTACCTCGAAGGAATTAGCGGAAAATTAAAGGAAATTCTTGAGGTTAGTTTGCTGGTAATTCTCACTAACCTGTTATAGAGTACAAAACCTTTAGATTCGGAAATGGGCCTCAATATAAGCGAAACTGAGGATGCGATCCAAGCAGCCTTTCTTCTTCCTGCGCCCTTGTTCATTATCTATTCCAAATTGACAACGTTTGTTGATGTGAAGGGTATAAAATTTTTACGTGGTGGTTGTATGCGTTTTTTATCAAAGTTATTTATCCTATGTTCTGTTTAGACCTCAAAGCCCGAATGAATGTCCGGATTGTTGGGGATCTGGAACTAGCGCGATCGATCAATGCAACAACAGCATCTAATTTTGAAGACTTTGATGCAGATTCTTCAGAATCCGGGGATCAAGAAGGGCCTGGAGGCAAACGAGTAAGTCTGTACGATTTATTCGCGGATTCGTGAATCATTAATGACAACCAATGCATTATTATAAAAATTAAATGACGCTTTGAATCTCTATTGACTTTTCTGGGTCTTGCATATAGTAAAATGCGGTAAGGAACCCATAAAAATATGACCGAAATTACTTCCTTCTGCTTAAGGTTGACTTCTTATCTAGATATCAGCACGAAAAACCATTTTCAATCGTTAGCCAACACCGTGTCCTATCTTTTTTATGTGGCTTTTATTAGAACCCCAGTTCTTTTCAATAGTACCTCGGATGCACGACTTCCGTGGGCGTATTTTAAAGTCCGTTTAGACCTTTGATCCTTTTAGTAAAAGGTCTTCTTACTTTTCTCTGCGACATTGCCTTCCTCATCAGTCCCATGTAAAACCATAGTTCCTGTTCACACAAATTCCATGCTGGAAGTCCATGCACTTTTTAAGGCTATTACATGCTCACATTATCACATCCACGGTATAGCCTGGAACACTCCTGCAACCAAATTGTTGGAAAATTGTTAAATTCGTCAACAAAATTTATCTTTTGTTTTCTCATCCAATTTGATTTTTAACTAAGCCAGTGTTTGTTGAAGTGACGTTTTATTGGTGGCTTAAAAACTAGTCGTATCTTTGTCGGTTAATCAAATCAAAAAAGGGAATGATGCGACACTTATCAGCCTCATGTGCACTTTGTGTGGCCTTTGTTGCTTGTGATAACAAGCCTGCGGTTTTTAATGTCACTTATAGCACAATTTCTTCAACCTTTTGGCCTCGTTAAGGCTGCTTAGTGTTGGAGAAGCTGTTGCGAAGTACTTTAGTGGGTGCTACGTCACTGGCCTTGTTATTTCTCTCGTACGAAATTCGAGTGCATTGTAAAATCACAGGCAACAACATAGGAAATGCGGGAATTATTCAAGGTTCAAAAAGCTTTTTCAATAAGTTACAGGATTGGCGGAAGTGTAGGTTGTTAAGCTGCAGTTCTCTCCATCAAAGAACCGCCAGAACACTCGATTTATGAATAACTGATCTGCAACTCACGATGAGCAGCCCGCAAGTAGAACATGTAGATAGTTGGTTTGAACACCCAGAGCTCTCACCAAATCTGCCTCGTAAGGACCACAGGAGTTTGTTGTCTGCGGCGCTGAGTTGTCGGTTGTTTTGCCCACCATAGTCTGAGCAAGCAGGCCTTTCTGCAGCCTCCATGGTAATTCACGACCCCATGTGTCGCTGCCACCTCGTTAGAGGCCAAGGGACATGGACCATGAGATCTGCCTTGTCCTCGCCACTCGCTCGAATATTCGCAAGTGGATTAACACGTATTATGTAATCTGAAACAACGTCTACTAACTTAGTCGATATGTGATGTGGCGGTGTAAGAGAAAGCAATGCGTTTTCTGTTTCCATTTAAGGACAGTATATTCCTGAAAAGATATTTTGTTGCGCGTTTGCCAAGTTGGGTGTTATGAAAATGCGTCTTTGGATCAAAATCACTGTGTATTTGAGGCGGCATGTCATAATTCAGTTTCTTCATAAAACTAATTGTTGAAAAGAAGGAATTTTTACACCTTGCCCTTGCACTTATCCCTTAACAATGGCATGCTAACTATCCCCAAACCTTCGTGTATTCGTGCAAAACTTGTATTCTCTCGAAATCGTATTGGTAAACGCCATCTTTCATGAGTGTGGGTGTGGTTTCCCGCTCATAAACATTAATTTAGTTTGTATTACCTTTTCATCGAAGAAATGTCGTCGAAAGTCAAAGCATGCTACCATTGGGGAAGAAGAAAGGCCACAACCTAGAACCGACTCACCCCATCCCCTTTCTGTGGTTGTGTGTGTCACCTCTAGTAAGTTTTGTGACCGTACTACTTACCATTAGTGAGTACAACGTATGCATGGCCATTTCCTTCCACCTTCTGCTTAGGGCCCGATGAGAGGTGGCCCAACCTCCATTTGACGCTGACCTTTGTCTGGCTGATGCGCGCGAAGCTTGTGACTGTAAAGGAGGAAGTTCAGGAACTTGAGAAGCTCTATGCTCTCTCACAGACCGGGAGGTAAGCGGTTTAGTCGCTGTCTTAGAGCCCCATAAATGCACGTTTTATCCAAACCAGACCAGAGGAGAAATTTGAAACCTGCGCGATTGAAGTAGTAAAACTATTTACTTATGCCTGTTCACGTTTTGCTTCTTATAGGCTTACTATTTCAACAAAATTTCACCGTTTAAATTTTCTGTATTTGAATGTGAATCCAAAAACCTTTATCCTACAGTCACCTATAATTAGTCGAATAAGGACAGTGACGACAGCAGTCGCTACCACATTGCCCGTACGAGGTATAACTCTGTGTGAGGTATGCCGCACGTGATCACACCCGAGTCATGCTCATTGCGGTATCCAATGCGGCTTTGAGGTTTTATGTCAAAATGCGCGGCCTCCATGCTGTTGCGTTCTGGTGGCAGTGGTCACCCTTCGATGTTTCCCGTCACGTTTTGACCCTCACAAATCCGCTTCCTACCTCGTACAAACACTCACTGCACATATCCTTTAAGCACTGCAAATCGTTCGCCTTCTTCAACTCTAACAGCATTGCCATGGATTCTCAGAACTGACCATTTCCATGCAAAACAGAGTCCTCCGTCGGTAATACGTGGTCCCTTCCGTGAAACTCCATAGCACAAACATGGCACTAATCAATATAGAGGTAAAGTGGGGGGAGCATGATACAGTCCCGGATCCGCCCGGATCTAAACTCTTATTTGGTCTGAATCTAATAGTGGCCTGACTCACAGTTCGTCTCATTATATCACGACTTTGATCAAATTGTCATTACATGTAAAGTTGGCCAAGTTGCTTGTTTTTAGCTGCGTCCTGGCTCCCAGTACCACAAAATTCTCATCTAAATCTTGCGTTGTTAGGAAGAGTCTGGCTATTTTAGGGATCTTTTATCCTCCGAAAAACTGCTCATCAACCTGAACTGCACGGGAGCATCTTGTGAAGGCGGGGAACCGGCATTCCTGACGTCCGGTGGGGACCGGACTCAGTTAACCGCCTGGGGCCGGCCCTACGGATGGGCACAGCAGTTGTCGGGCGTGCAGTGCCTGCCCTGCGTCGATTCCGCCTGCGGTTACGCGGCACCCGCCTCTCCATCGTCGTCTTCGTCGTCGTCTCCTGCACCGCCCTTCGGTTTTATTGATTCGTGGTTTTCGGCGCTGTGTCGGCGTGTGGAAACTCGGATGTCACTCAATTCTGAGGTTGGCATTTCACTTCTCTGTGACACGTGTCTTCATTTAACATTAATGCTAATGCATGCTTTTTTCGAATTTTCTCGCTAAATTTAGAAAGTCTTAGCTAATGCAGCAAACCGTCTGCTCATATAATGTGCACATTTCACGAATCTCACCCTTCTTGAGATGTAAACGAACCTAGCCATCAGTCGGTATTCATGCAACCCTCTCTTATTCATGAAGCAGCACCAAAAATCGTGTTTTCGTCATTTCTTATCTTTATTTTCAGCTATGTGCTATCGAAGATGGTGTACTCCATCTGTCGGAGAACCAAAAGCCTTTTTTCCCCATCAGTGAGGACATCGGTTTGAGCACATGGGACCGCGTCACCTTCGATGATATAAAAGTACGCGGTATTTATTGATTTTCCCCAACATCCGCTATGATGGCTCGAGCACTAAATTGGCAGTGCCTAAATGTTGCAAACCTCATTGGACAGTTTATGTGCAGACGAATTGTGAAACATCGTTTCTGTATAGGCGTTTCAAAGTGGAATCAAAACCCATGGCATCAATTGTTGCTTTGACGAGGGCATGTGTAAAACGAGGGGGACTGTGAACGCTGGCGTTGTCGGTATTGACTTGTTGAACGAGGCCAAACCCTTAATTAGGCCGCTGAATCAGGACGTGTTCCTCTGTGGCTGTTCCCTCGTATTTATAGGTCGGATGCGTGAATAATAGGGAGTGTGGACCACTGGATGTTAACTTAGAGGGTTATCGGGATTTGCCTCTACATGCAGGAAAAGCCCAAGGTAAACCTTAGAGTTCGTTGGGGTGGCCACGGGAAATAGGCTCGAGTGGCTCAGCAGAGGCTATGCTGGAGGCGAGTAAGGCATTCATGTGTCATCTGGTAAAGGTTGTGCATTCACAAGATTCGCCAGACTGAACTTGTGGAAGGGTCCTCTCCTCGCACCCGTTGGTAAAGTCCGTCACTGCTTTCTCAAGACATTCGCAAATGGAAGCTTGCATTCCTGTGACTCTCGAGGTAGGCCCTGTGGGTCTCGCGCCTGGTAGCCTTATTAAAGTGGAGCCATCATCAACTGTCCAAAAGTAGACGTTTTTGTTCGCAACCCCAAATCCACGCCCAGGGGACTAATTCATAATCCTTGTCTTACACGGCCCTCTCCCTCCCCCTCCCCCCCCC